CTCTGTAGCTTTGGAGCCTGTCCTGGAACTCCCTTTGTAGACCAGGCTGGCCTCGAACTCACAGAGATCCACCTGCCTTTGCCTCCCGAGTGCTGGGATTAAAGGCGTGCGCCACCACTGCCCAGCTTTCTTTTGTTTTTTGAACACAGGATTGTTATGCCCAAGTTTCTGGTCCCCAAATGAATTCACAAAGCTGGATTTCCAATGCAAATTACACGAGGGTTTTTTAATAATATTCAAGCTTAAGTTTGGACGTGCACCTTTCCAGCACCCCAGCATGGTGGGTGCAAGAAGTGTGGCAGGGGGCCCTGGGAGGGGAGAACTTTTAAAAGGGAAACACCGTAACCAGGGGAGTTTATGTCCTGCCATTTTGGGATTGGGTAAGAAGGGCATAGGATAAGGTAGTTTCTGAAACCATTGGTCAGTTTTTGGGCACAAAAAACTAACTAACAAAGAGCCATAAATTACTGACAAGGTATGTTCAAGGACAGGATGTCTCCCAAGAACATCTGGACCTCGTTAAACTTTATGGCCCTGCTCCCTATCTTCTTAATTGGGCATTTTTAGGGCATCTGTTCAGATTTCTGCTATCACAGCACATTTCTGGAGCTGAGATCGCCCACCCCCCAGCTCATTATATGGCTTAAGATGAAGCCCCTTCTTTAAAATGAAGTTTGTGGGCTGGAGAGATGAGCCAAAGGTCCTGAGTTCGATTCCCAGCAACCACATGGTGGCTCACAACCCCATCTGTAATGAGGTCTGGTGCCCTCTTCTGGCCTTCAGACATACACGCAGAAAGGATATTGTATACATAATAATATAATAATATATAATATAATATTAAAAACTTTATAAAATGGAGTTTGCAAAGTCAGGTCCTTAGAGGAGCTCACTGCATGGTTTTGGCTGGCATGGTACTCACTATGTAGACCAGGCTGGCCAAGAACTCAGAGCTCACCTGCCTGTGCTCACTCCTGAGTGCAGGAATTATTCATGCAGCTCCTTCTGCCTCTACTCCATGAGAGGTGCCAGCCTCGGCTGCCCCTGTGCAGTGAGACTCAGCACTGGAGGATCTCAGAGGCCAGGCCCACACTCCACTCGGGACTCCCACTCTTGGCCTGAGTGTCTGGAGTCCTCGGGGCTGGAGGGAAGAAAGCCAGCTCTGCCCACAAAGGCACCTTTATCTGTGTTGTCTTCCAGAGCATGGCCTGTCTCCTGCACCAACTTTATCCCTCTGGGCTCTGCCATTGTCACCCCTGAAGCAGAAAGCCTTAAAGGGGCTTGATGTCTTCTTAGATTCATGGTATGTAGATATAAAATATATGAATTTGGGCCAGCAAGTTGGCTCAGCAAGGTGGCAAAGGTGCTTGCCACCAAGCTTGATGACCTGAGTTCAGTCCACGCAAACCCACAGGTGGAAGGAGAGAAACTGCTCTGTTTCTCTCTGCTGCCCTCTGATCCCCACACAAGCACTGTGGCACACACAGCCCCTCCCCATAAGTAAAAAATATAGAATAAATACGTGTAACATATAGATGAATTTCCCCTCTGCCTGAGGACCGGAGGCCGTAGTGTCTCAGCAGGAATAGATAACTTTACTGTGCAAAATGTGGAAAGAGCCACACTCTTCCTGGGCAGAACTCGAGTCTGCAGCACCCTGGAGTGCGAGCTCTGAGGAGATGCCACACACATAGGCCAGGATGAACCCCAGAGAGCTCAGGGTTGGTGTCTCTCCTACAGCCCATGGCTGGCCTTGAATCAGAATGTGGTCAATAATGACCTTGAGTTCCTTGTCCTCTCCCTCTCCTGAGTGCTGGGGTTGCAGGTACCACTCCCCCTGCACCCCGCTTTATGTAGTAGTACACGGATCCGGCTCCAGGCCCCTTCAATGCTGGCAAGCGCTCGACTCAGCTATGACTCTCCACAGCTCCAACCCCGCCCCCCCCCCCATCTTTTAAGACAGAAGGGGTTTACTATGGAGCTCAGACTGGCCTCCTTGCTGCCATCCTGACGAGCCCCTCACCCTTGCAAGGGAATGCTGGGGTTGTAGGCGTGCACTGCCACACCCAGTCAGCTAGAACAGCTCAAATGAAAGTCAACACTATGACAATGGAGCACAATCCAAAGACTAAGGAGTCCTGGTGACAGACAGGCCAGGCAGACAGGATGAAAGAGGTGAAGGGGTGGACCTGCCTCGTGGAAGAACACAAAGGACACTGGAGACGCCTGATCCAGCAGGGCTTTGGGTCTAGGCCAGTGCTACAGGTTTGCCAGGCTTGTGTGGGGCTCTGGGTTCCATCCCCAACCTAGCAAGGAAGGAAGAAAGGGAGGGAGGGGGAGGGAAAGAGGGAGGGAGGGAAGGTGAGCCAGACATCTCTAGCATCTCCCCTCAAAATGGTTTTTGAACGTGGGGTGTCACGGGCTGAGTCTGTTATCTGAGTACTCAGAGGGGGAGGCCGGAGGATCAGGCCACACTGAGACCCTCTCTTAAGCTTTTCTTTTTAAATCAACATCATCTAGGCTTGGAGGTTCATCCCTGTCATGACAGCACTTGGGAAGGGAAGAAGATGTCTGAGGATCACCTTGAGTTTGAAGCTAGCCTGGGCTACCATGCTAAAAGAGAGGGGGTGGGGAGGAAAGGAAAAAAAAATCAACCCTGGTGGTGAGCCACGCGGCCATCACGTGCCTCCTGACCTCATGAGCAGAGGACTCTGTTTACCTCTGTGGGGTTTTTGCCCAAAGCCGCAGTAACTCCTGCTTCGTCATGAGAAAAACATCAGATACACCCAAATTGCAGGATCGTCTACAAAATACCGACCAGAATGCCTCAAAATTGCCCAGGTCAGGAAAAACAAGGGAAAACTGAGAAGCTGAGTCCGGCAGACAGGGAAGTGAGAGGGTGGACAGGAGATGGCAGAGTAGCCAGCTTGAAACCCAGACAACTTGCAGTCATGTGGGGAGAGTGGAAAGGAAGGAGGCCCACCTGGGTTTTAGAGAGGGTCCGAAACCATAAACACAAAAGCCAGTTCTGCGGCCAAGGATGCTTCTCAGTTAGGAGGCTTGTCTCCTACACAAAGCCGGGTCCCCTCCTGAGAGCACCACAGGAACCTGAGTCAGTTCCCAGGGCCGGGAGGGGCAGGCAAAAGGAAGGACTCCTGTGCAGGGTCATCCTAGGTTACACTAGGAGTTTGAGCTAGCCTGGACTACACGGCCCTATCTAAAAACACCAAGAAAACCAAAGAGCGACTGGGATGCAGCGTCAGAAGTAGAGCCCATCAGGACAAGCAGGAGAAAGAGAAAGACCTATCCTACTTTGTCCTAAAGCCCTACTCAGCATTCCTCCCTGGCCACCCACGGCGAGGGCTACTAATGCCTTCTGTTCCTCCCCCACTCCTCTTTTGGGAACAGTTCTAATTGGTCTTAATAATAAAAACCTGGAGCCAGACATCGGGGTAAATGCTGAAAGATCAGAGACAAAGGAGCAGCCACAGCCAACTCTGACCTTGTTAACTCCTCCCTCCCTATATTCCTCTCCCTGCCCAGCCATATCACTTCCTGTCTGTCTGTACAGACCTCCAGACCTCTATGGTTAGCTAGTGGTTAGCTCCGCCCTCTGATCTTCAGGCAAGCTTTATTTGCTAGCGCTCAAACAAAACCTCATTACAGAACAGAGTTTCACTACGTAGCTCTCTGGCTGTCCTGGAACTCACAGAAATCCACCTGCCTCTGTCTCTCTAGTGCTGGGGTTACAGGTGTGCACCACCATGCCTGGGTCCCCTCTCTAAGAAGGCCCCAAACCCCAACTGCTCCCAGCCATTATCCCCAGCTGTTTCACCCTCTGGATCAGCAGGGGTGCCCCAGCAGTGGTTTTCACTCAGAGACCCATGGGATTCCAGGGTAGACTGCGCGGCTTTCCTCTCAAGACTGTACACACAGTCTAGGGTTACCTAGGGTTACCGTTGGCATCTGAGTGTACCCAGAAGCCAAGGTACTGAAGGGTAGCAGCCTGAGGGAGTGTTAGAGGTGGTAGACAATGGCAAGTCTACCTGGGAGGTATTAGGTCATTGGGAACATGGCCTTGGAGGGATACAGAGACCCCCACACCTCCCTGTCTGCCAAGTATGCCCACCATGAACTACTGGGCTACCCACAGGCCCAAAGCATCAGGGCCAGCTGACTCTGGACTGAAACCTCTGGAGATTTAAAATAAACTTTTCTTCTTAAGCTGACTGTTTCAGGCACTTGGTTGCAATGACAGAAAGCTACCACACTTAGTAGGGCCTAACATCACACAGTAGGCCTAAATGAGACCAGAAAAAAACATGGGACCCAAGCTAGTCTAATCACAGAGAATTCTAGGACTCCACCTGGAAATTCTGACAGTTTTCTTCCATGCAGGGCCTGTAGAAGCCTGTGGAGGAAGCTGCATTGGAAGAGCAGAGTGGAGGGACAGGACTAGCTGGGGTCTTTTGGTAACAGCAACAACCCACTTGATCCAGCCTTGACTCAGGCTCAGTTTCCTCTCTCCCTTTTGTTGAGATCTGTGACGGACTGAAAAATATCTACAATATATGTTTATGTCCTTATTCCCAGGACTTATGAATGTCACATAAGTTTTTGTTTTTGTGTTTTGATTTTTTTCTTTTGAGGCAGTTTCTCTGTGCAGCCCCGGCTATTCTGGAACTCGCTCTGTAGACCAGGCTGGCCTCAAACTCAGAGACCCCCTGCCTCTGCCTCCCAAGTGCTGGGATCAAAGGTGTGTGCAACTACCACCTGGAAAATGTTTCATACTTTAAAGTGTATGTTGGGGGCTGGAGAGGTGGCTCAGGGGTTAAGAGCACTGGCTGGGACCTGGGTTTGGTCCCCAGCCCTCACTCACATGGTGTCTCACAACCTAAAAACAGTTTCAAGGGATCTGTTGCTCTCTTCTGGCATTCCCAGGAACTGCATGCAAATGGTGTACATACCTATATGCAGGTAATACATCTATACACATAAAATAAAATAAATCACATGCCTTTAATCTCAGCAGTTGGGAGGCAGAGGCAGGCAGACCTCTGAGTTCAAGGCCAGCCTGGTCTACAGAGCGAGTTCCAAGACAGGGCTGGCTGTCACACAGAGAAGCCCTATATCAAAACTAAACAAACAAAACCCCAAATAGATAAATAAAATAAATCTTTAAAAAATGTTTTTAAACAGAAGAACATGGGAGAAGTGTGGGGTTACATGGTTTTGCCAAGACTGCAATGGCAATTTCTTTAAACAGAAAAACATGGGAGGAGTGTGTGGTTAGATGGTTTTGCCAAGACTGCGATGGCAAAATGGTCCAGGTGGACTCCAGCAGGAGGCAGAGGACATGGAGTGGGCCTGGGGTCCGGCTGTGGGTGCAGTTCACTGCAACCACCAAACACACAGAGGCAAAGAGCAACTCTCTTCTGGGACCCCGATGGGGCCCAGCGCGACCTCCAGGTGGCATTCAGCCTGGGAGGCTGACTTTAGACCCCAGCCTCCCAGCTGCAGTGGTCAAGGCCCCCAGCTGGTGGTGCTTTCTTAGCACAAGCGGCAAGAGGCAAGTACAAAAACTCATGGAGTCATTTTAATATTCAAGCCTGCTTGGCTTTGACACTTTGCTACTCGGAGGGAAAAGTAGCAGGTTGACACAGGCTCCTCTGCCCTCGGGGCACCGGGAGACAGGAGACGGTGAGAACAGGCAACACCCTCCTGATGGGACAGAGCTCCCCAGGCAGAGAAGTCAGTGCAAAGGCCCTGGGGTCAGACATCAAGCAGAGGCAGCCAGGGCTTATTTACAGAGCTGTTACCACCCAGCGCCTATAGAGAAGCCCCCAGACACACAGAAGCCCACAGCAAGGGAAGGGACCCAGTCAGGCCCCAGGGGAGCGTCAGGCAGGCGGGTCCTCCAGCTTGCTGCTGGCACTGGTCACCCGCTTGATCTCTCGGAGGTTACGAAGTCGAGCACTGAGGCTGCTGATCTCCTCCACATGGGCCTGCGGCACCCACCCCTTTTCACCGTCTGCCAGGCGCACACCCTCCAGCCAGCCTAGGGACACAGCAGTCAGTGTCAGGGACACGGAAGAGCTGCTGGGCAGGCCTGGGAAGGAATGACTGGGCCTGACGCCAGTCTGGGGCCAGGTGATGTTACCCTAGCGTCACCAGCCCCGGGAAGGACTCCACCTCTCTGAGGAGGCTATTTCCCACCCCCTCTCCATTCTCCAGCAGGAAGTTCCTTCTTTGGTCTAACTGGATTCCCAAATACTGTGGCTGATCACCATTTGTACAACCTGTCCCTGTGATAGGTTGGTCACTTGCCCCTCCTTCTGCCCCTCCAAAGGGCTGTTGGGAAGGCCTGGCTCTCACCATCACTGGTCCGGGTCTTCACTGCCAGGATGTCTGTCTTCTCCAAGGTCAATTCATCCGGCTGCAGGGCCTTATAGGTCCTCACACACTGGACCTGGGGGCGGTCTGAGAGCCAAGAGGGGGGTCCAGGAGACCCCAGGTCAGGGGAGGGAGCCACAGTTGCTCCTCTGCCCATCCTAGGCATGAGTTTCCCCAACCTGAGGCTCTCGGCCACGGATGCTGACCTCCCCAGCTTGCTGCAACATCTTGTGTTGATCTCTAGACTCCCATACAAACCCCAGATGCCCACCACGTACCCCTCGACAGTCCTCTGGGTGTCTAAAGTTCAAATCTAAAGACCTCTTCAGGACCCACAGACTTCACGCGCGGACACTGCCCACTTGGGCTCACCTCCTCTTCCCACCCTCTTTCTACTCAGGTTCATGCAGCTCCAGCCACATGGGGCTCCTATGGTCTCTGAGCAACTGGTGCCTTTTGTCTCAGAGTCTTCTGCCCAGAGGTCCTTTCTCCACCCCCCAGGGCCATTTCCCAGTGGCCTCTGTTTGGAGTAGGGGGCTTGTCCCCAGCCTTAGTGGGACTCTGAGCCCAAGTCAGAGAATCTGCCCTGCTTCATTCTTTGTGACAGAGTAGATGGGCTTGAGCGTCGCAAACAATTTTGAGCTGGGTGTGGCGGCTCATCCTTGTAATACCAGTACACGGGGAAACTGAGGTAGGAATTCAAGGCCAGCCTGGGCTACACAGCAAGACTCTTTCTCAAAAAGGGAAGAAAGAAGGAAGGGAGGGAGGAAGGGAGGGAGGGAGAGAGAGGGACCAGACTTGGCCCCATTCCCAGCTCAGCTGCTGACTATGTGACCTTGGGTAAATTATTTAACTTTTCTGAACTTCAGTTTTCAGAGGTGTAAAAAAAAAAAAAAAACTGAAGATGGTGAATCTAGCTAACAGGATCACTACTGGGATTAAACAAAATGAGTGAAATTACAGAGTCCAGTCCCTGGCCTCACCCACAGCAAGTACTTGTTGGGAGTAGGTCTCCCCCCCCCCCCCCCCCCCCCGCTCCATAGACCTATAATCCAACCCCGTGCCTCTGTTCAAACACTGTCCATGGCTACCTCCTACCCACCACCAAGATCCTCTCCCACTAGATGGAGTCTGCCTTGCCAGCCTCACATCACACCCAAGGGAGCTGAACATCCTTCACCCTGCTAACCCCGTCATTTTCACCCTGCATCCCACACCCTGTACACACCAGGCCTATCTGCTTCACAACCGATGCAGACAGACACACAGACAGGCAGCAGTGGGCTCCAGATCCAGCTCTGTCTAGCTGGGAGGACCCAGAAGAGGCCCTCGGCCTCTCTGAATCTCTCTTTCATAGTCTGCAAAATGGGTTGTCTGTTCATATGGGGTGTACCCCACCCAGCCCCCAGTGGCCTTCAGAGCCACCCCAGAGAGTTCTGGGTCCTACCTTCTCCATCACAGGTGACCTCCTTGTCCTCCTGGGGGCTGGATGGGCGCAAGGCTGAGATCCATCGTTGCTTCTCACTTCTACAGAGGGGGAGGTGTGGTCATAACAGGCAAAGTACAGTGACTCAGAGCGGGGTTGGGAACCTGAGCTGGCAGAGCTAGGGTTAGGTCCAGATATCCTGGGCTACACGCAAGTCTCCAGGCCTATGTTCCTACCCCACTGCTTCTGCATGCCAGCTCTGGCCACTCCAGCCTCATGCTACCTCCCTGATAGAGGGGCACAGTGGCAGATGCCACCTGCCATAATTTAGGACTGCTCCCGCCATCCAGACTCGCTCTCTGCCCCAGGGGTTCAGCATGACCCTTGCTCGGGGTTTGGAGTGCTTACTCAGTACGCGCTCTCAGCAGCAGCTGGTGCCTGGCACGTTGCCCATGCAGCAGCCGGAGCAGGAACACGTGACCTGGGATGCCCTGCAGCTTCAGGCTCAGGTCTCGAACCTGCAGCTCAGCCATATTGGCATGGACGAAAACAGCAAACTTCCCGAGCCTGGAGGACAGACAACAGGGCAGGGAGGGTCAACAGAGCCTGGGTCCTACCCTCAGAGCCATGCCAGGACCAGGTGAGCTGAAGGGAAGAGGAGGAAAGATCATTTGCTTCTCCAGGCCTGGCTTCACTGGGCGCCCTCTCTCAACAACCAGTAAGGTTCCCATCAGGGTATCTAAACAGAGCTCAGGGTGCTAAGACAGGATTGCTGTGAGTGCAACTGCCTGGGTTTCTGCTGGCAGAAGATAACAGAAGCCAGGCCCCCAGCCCAGGTATACTTGTTTTTGCACCCTTCCCTGCCTCCAAATGGACTCCCATGTGATTTGCACCAAGCCAGCAGAAGCTGCTTCTCCATTCTGAAGTCAGAACCAGGTGCTGCTGGCCTTGCAAGGAAAGAGGCTGGGAGGCAGGGCAGGATCCTGGACTTGTTACCCTAGCACAGAAACAGGGCCCAGCTCCCCTCCAGCAACACTGCGCTGTGCATGAGTCCCCACCATCATGTCCCCCTCCCCCCATACTAGAGGGAGCAGGTCCCTCCTCTGCCATCCCGTTCCTGCATCTGCCCATCCTGAAGCACCTGCCACCTCTAGGCCATCTGTGCTCACCTGGAAAAGAGTTTCTGGTCCCTCCCACCCCTCCACCCTTCAAATCCGCCAGAAGCAGAATGCGGCTCCTCTGCACACCCCACTCCTGCCCTCAGAACAAGCCCAGCCTCCACGGCGACTTCAAAATCTCCGCTCCCTTTTCTTGCCCTGTTCTTTGATTTGTTCGTTTATTTATTCAGAGACAGGCCCTCACTATAGAGCCCTTGTGGCCTGGAACTTGCTATGTACAGGCTGCCCTCCATCTCTGTCTCTGCCTCCTGAGTGCCAGGACTAAAGGCATGTGCCACCATCCTGGCTTTCTGCTCTTTCTCCTCTGGTCCACTGCCTGGCTTCTCCATGCCCCAGTCACACTCTGTTCTGCCACAGTTTTTCTGTCTTTTCCAAACCACTTCTCAACGCAAAACTCTTACTCTTCAAAGCCCATCCTAAGGGCTGGAGAGGTGGTTCAGGGGTTAAGAGCACCTGTTGCTCCTCCGAGGGGATGAGTTCAGAAGCCAGCACCCACAAGGCAGCTTACAACTGTCCCTAGCTCCAGTTCCAGGGGATCTGATACCCTCCTTTGGGGATTGAACGCACATGGTAGTGCACAGACAGACATACATGTGGGCAAAACACCCATGCGCATAAAACAAATATTAATTAAAAAAAATATTCCCAGCACCCACTCTTTCCTCCGGGACAGAAGCAGGCAGTCATTGAAGAGGTGAAGGTACACGGCTTTGCTGGACAGCTTCAGCTTGGCAGGTGGTGCAGCCGGCAGGGGGGCCAATTCCACCAGCTCCCCGTGCCTCACCAGCCAGCGGGCCTGTGAGATCAGTGGAAAGATCTGGAGAAAGAGACAATTAGGGAGTGCAGGTGAGGCAGCGGTGCTGGGTGAGTCCAGACCAGGGAGATCATGGGCAGTGACTACCAGCCCACTGGCCCCAGAGGAAGGAGGAAGCAAGAGCTTTCCTCTTTTAAATTTTTTTTTATAATGTATTTATATTCTATGAATGGAGGCTCTGCATGTATACCAGCATGTTAGAAGAGGGCATCAGATCCTATTATAGATGGTTGTGAGCCACCATGTGGGTGCTGGGAATTGAACTCAGGACCTCTGGGAAAGTAGCCAGTGCTCTAAGCCCTGAGCCATCTCTCCAGCCCAGCAAGGGCTTTCCCTTACCTTGCCCTCGAAGTGGATCTTCTTACTCAGGTGAATGAGTTCCTCAGTCCTCTTCATGGACTGCACGCTGGCATTGCATTCCTGCACCAGCTGGGGATGGGATCGGTGGGGAGTTATTTGGGCTCCCACCAGGAGAAGGGGAGGCCTCAGGAGCCCACAGCTCCAGTCCCTGAGCTCACCTCCTTGAGTGCACTGAAAGCCTTGGTGGCCATGTCCTCATCTTGGGAGCCTGGTGCTGTCCGCTTCAAAATGTTCTGATGGGCGAGAGAGAGAGAGAGAGAGAGAGAGAGAGAGAGAGAGAGAGAGACATTCTTGGGTACGGTGGTCACTAGTAAGGCATCCATGTTCTCACTTACATTGAGACGCCCTGTTGAAACTCACTGGGTCACACACAAAACAGACATGAGAGTAGAAGGAGGGGTCACCCGGGAAGAGGAAGAAGACCAGTGGGAAGGGACACAAGGGAAGAGGGAGATGGGTATGCGTGTATGGAAATGTCACAATGGACCCTATTATGCATAATTAATATATGATAAAAAGGAAGACAAACGTGATATAACAACGAAAACATAACCACGGGGGGCAGGCCAGCCTCTCCCTCCCTGCCCTTCCTGAAGTGAGCTACCTCTACCAGCATCTTGAGGCGGGTGACCCTCTGGAAGGGTAGGATGAGGAAGGAGGTGAGAGGCAGCCGCTGGCACACGGGAGACTCTTCTAGGCGGGCCAGGATGCCGGGAAACTTGGGGTTCTCTAGGCTGGACAGGGGGCAGGAAGGTGCTGTCACAGGTGGCTCTCTGCACATCTGCCCCATGCCTCACAGATGGACCTGCCCCACCCGATCCTCTGCACCTACACCCACCCAAGCCCCCCCACCGCAGAGCCCCTCCTACAGGAGGCGCTGGTAGGTGCGCTCCTGATAGGCCTGGTTGGTGACGTAGGGCAGGTAGACCCGGCGGAAGGCAGGGCAGTGCTGCAGAACGACGTCGCACACGCTGAAGCGCAGCACGTCGGCCTCTAGACGCTGTTCCAGGTCGTGGAGAAACCTGCCAGGTGAGCCAAGGTCAAGGACAGCGCCACTACAGACCTCTGTGCCCACCCTTAGCCAGGCCGGGCCACTCGCTCACCTCTCACTGGTGCTCTTGACCTCGGGCAGTTTGGAAAATAGCCACTGCTTGTCCTGAGTCCCCAGACACTCGCTCAGCTCCGCGGAGCCTAAGAAGTGGCCCACAGCCACCGACAGGCTATGGATGTAGGAGGCCTCCGAGGTGATCAGCTCAAATTTGGCCTAAGGGAGGGTGGAGGCCGGGAGCAAAGTCATGCCGCCAAGGATCAGGGTCTCAACTCTCCCAACAGGATGAGACCTCAATAGACACCACTGCCCTGCCCCTTCCCAGCCCTACGGATAATCTGGCGCCAGGTGGGGTCTGGGCGCGCCCAAAGCTGCCAGCTGACAAGCTCCGCTACTTGAAGTCTTTCCCAAGATCAAGCGCTGCCCATGGCTCTCGGCTACGCCCAGCACCTGCCCTTGGCCACGCCCCCAACCGGGGAGGGCGCTCTCCAATGGCCTGGCTTCCCGCAAGGCTTCCGAGGACCCTGGTCCCACCCTCTCTCTGCGTTGACACGCCTCACCCCCAAACTAGGTCCCCAGCACCTGACCTTGGCCCCGTCCTAGGCTCCGCCCCTCCGATCCCACTCCTGGCTTCCCCGCTGACTTCTAGGAGCCTTACCTTCCCACGTCTTCTCCCCCACCCTTCGCTTTGACAGTCCCTGGGTCCAGCTGAGTCTCCTGATCAACTACTTCTGGTCCCGCTCCTGACATAGGCTTCTCCCTGTTTTAGACCCTCCGGGCTCTTCTCCTGGCTGCACAGATGCCCCCCCCCCCACTTTCCACTGCTAGTAGACAGCCCTTCATCTCCCTAAGGTCCCCATCACCTGCTTCTGGCCTCGCCCCATACGAGGCTCTACTCCGCCCACCCCTTTTCCTGGCTTCCAGGCCGGGCTCTCGAGTCTTTTCCCAGGTCCTCCCTCCCCTTCTCCACGTGGACAGTCCCTAATTCCCTGTGGGTCCTCATCTCCTGCCTCTAGCCCCGCCCCTCACCTCCTGCAGTTTGCAGTCGCGCAGGCTCAGCGTGGCCAGGACGCCGCTGCCGCGCACGTCGGGGATGTCCTGCCACAGCGAGAAGGTGGAGCCTCGGGCAGAGCGCTGCGCGCGAAAGGAGCTGCTCGGGGAAAGGTTGGCGCGCGGTGGCCCGGGCCCCTCCTCCGCGCCCTCCGCCCCGTCCCCAGGGCCCTCCTCCTCGCGCTGCTGCCGCCGCAACTCGCGCGCGCTGGCCACGTCGCTGTACTCCTGGTAGAGGACAGCTGGGCGGGACGGGAGACGGGATCTCAGGATCTCATTTACCCAAGCTAGAAACACTAACTGGGCACCAGCTGCATGCCAACCCACCTCAGTTTCCCAAAAGCAGGCTCCCCAGATTCCAAAGCCCCGGCCCCATCTCCCCTTCCCGCCCCCCACGTCCACCCCCGCCTTCGCAGCAACTCTGCACATACAGTTAAGGAGGAAGCGGGACTGGCGCCGCTCGGTGGCGCTGCTGGAATCCTGAGAGGGTTTTTCATGCGTGTCCAGCCTAGGAAAGAGTGTCAGGACCTCTTTGCATCCCTCCCCAACCCGAACCCCAAGAGAGAGGTAGGTACCTGGGCTCCAGTAGACCACCGTGGACCTCATTTGGGTCAGCAGGTGCTGGCAGCGACACACTGTCCACCCTCATCTCCGCTCTTCGGCATTCCCTCACAGGCAGTTTCCCTAGAGAAAGCAAGAGCTGGGAGTGGGCGATCTAGAGAACGACGTGCGTGGGGCTGATCACCCGATGTTAACACGGGTAGGTAGGCTGCGCCCTGCACGCCTGGCTCAGGCTGCCCTCAGTGCCCGGAAAAATAGGAAAATAGCTGAGTACCTTCTCGGGTGATTCCAGCACCTGACCCCGAGGTCAGGGCCCTGGTGGCCGTGCGACCCAGGCGCAGAGATGAGTGAAGCCTCGTCATCAGTTCAGAGGCTGAGAAGCGCCTTCGCTCCTGAGCCTCAAGGCCCACTCTGGTGCTTCTGGAAAGTTCCTGTGGCCTGGGCTCTTCCGCACATAGAGCCTGCTCATGTGCAGCCTGGCCAGTCTCCAGAAGACCCATGGGGGTCTCGGTGCCACCAGTGGCCTCTTCATTATGATATACCTGGATCTTGCGCCCTAGGGGTGGGGTAAAATAACAGCTGCCCTCCACTGTAGTCTGTCCCGTCTTCCTTCTTGTTGTGGTGGCATGACCCTGAGCATCAAAATGAGATGCCCCAGGGCAACAGGATATCAGAGGTCCTGACCACAGAGAGCAAGGGAACTGGAACAGCGGCCGCCAAACTGGTTATGTAATGTTGGCAAGTCATTTGGACCCTATGAGCCATCTTTCCCTTGTCGGTAAAACTTGTCCTGTCTTTTGGGACATTCTGCAGTTTAGAGAGTTCAAAAAGAGCCTCCCAGTCCCTCCCCTAGCTGCCCCCAAAGACCCACCCCCCCACCAGGGTGACTCACAGGCTGACTTCTTCTCTGAGCCACCATGGCTGGCCCTGCGCTGGGGCTGCATGTGTTGGGAGCTCCAGGGTCCCACCAGAGTTGGGGGCTGGGCACCAGGACAGTGGGGCCAGCTGCCAGCCCTGCTGGGTCTCATTCCTCCACTGCTGGAGATATGGGAATCTGGGCTTCCTGGGGAAGGTGGCCATGACAGTCCTTGGAGAGGGGCAGGGGTCGCCAGGGACCAACGACTACCAGGAGCTTGTAGCTCCTCAGGCGCAATGGGGAAAAGATCCACACACACTGGGCTTGGGGGCTGCAGAGAGGGCAGTTCCACGAAAGACAGGCTTTCCTGCTGGCACACGGCTACCGGGCGGCGGGCAGTGCCAGGTGATCCAGCCAGGTGAGGCTGGAGGGTTGCGGGTGGCCCACAGTCCATTCCTCCTTTGCTCTGCCACCCTCCTGAGCCTGGAGGGGAGAAGGGATGAGATCCAGATATAGTACAACAGGCAGTGCTGGTGAGCCATCATGTCCTGGGGGCCCGGGCAACCCCTCTGGCAGGCACATGTGTACGCAGCTACACAAACACACACACATGCCCTTTTAGTAATCGTCAGTGTTAGTCAGTACTTAGTAAATGAGCAACACCCGTGTAGCCCCTCAGTTAATCTCCACCAGCCTTCAGCATCGATGCCGTTACCCCCATTTGATAGAAGAGGAGAGTGAGGCGCAGTGGTTATCTACCGACTACTAGAGCCAGGATTTCCACACAGGCATCACGACTTCCACATCTGCGTTGTCAGTCACCTTGTACAATTTCTAATACACATTGACATGTGACCAGACATATAGATAACATATGTTGTCACACAAATTCATGTTCCAACACACAGCCACACATTCTCTTCCGGCACACATACTTTCATAGATAACTTGAGACATCTCAAATGCGGATAGACACATACTTTTTTTTTGTTTTGATTTGTAACATAGGCTTAGAAATTTTCAGTGACACACACACGCGCGTGCACACACACACACACACACAAGCTTCCTCACACGGCTCCAGGCAGACACACACACACACAAACCAGGATGCAGATACATACGGGCCCAATGTCCTTGTTCTGAAGTTATCCACCCCCTTCCATACCCAGACTTGAGGCCTTCATGCTGAGTGATGCCTACACCCTTGCCAGGCTGGCTGGGAGGGTCACAGACTGGCAGGCAGGCCACCACCCAGATTAGTCCCTCCCAGGGAAGAGCAAGGAGATGCCCAATCCCCAGTTTGGGATGACAGAGGGGCTTATCCCCGTCCCAGCTCCCAGACACTAGATCAAACCAGGCAGAATGGGCCGTTTCTGGGCAGGATGCCATCCCCAGGCAGTCTGCCAGTACCCCAGGACAGAATGATGAGCCCAGAGGTCCAAGCCCCTTCCGCCTCTACCCCAGAGCCCTCTGTGGCCTCCTTCTCGCCCCTCACCTCTTCAGCAGAGACCGAAGCCTGCTGCTGATGCTGCCCGCCTGCTCCGGCAGGGGAAGCCCTCTCTCTGCCCAGCTGGCTGGGGGAGATCCCACCCAGACAAAGGGTTTGATTCATCAAACCCTGTGGTGAGGCGAGGAGAGGGAGGGAGCAGGCAGCGGGCTGGGGCTGGGCGGGGGCCTACACTTGCCTGGCTGCATTGCGGGCAGTCTGGGCAGCAAGGACCCTTGCAGAGGCCCCTTGGGCCAAAGGAGCAGTGCCCAGTCTGACAGAAACGAGAGGGAGACCCAGAGAAATAGCGGCCTTGGAGACAACAGCTCGGGAAGCGACTCTCGGAGACTGAAGAAGAGAAACCACAGAGGCTGAGTCGCTTGAGGCCCAGAGCCTGAGACACCGAGGATTTCCGATGTGACCAGATGCCCAGGCCGATGAGAAATCCAGGAAAAATACAAACAAACAAAAAACAGGAAGACAGATGAACAAATAATAGCTCATGCCCAGTGGGGTTGCCAGTCTGGTGGGAGAGCCAAAAAACAAAAGCGGTTATAATCTGAGTTGGCAAGAAACAAGCCACAGGCACTAACACAGTAGGGGGCTGGGCCCAGCCCAATCTGAGTACATCAGGAAGGCTTCCTGGTGTCGGTCTCAGCTCAAGGTTGCAAGGCTAAAACCCGCAAGGGCCCAGTACAAAGATGGGGCAGTAATCTCCAGCCTGAACCAGAGACAGCATCTGGGTAGGCCTAGTAGAAGACGGTTGAGTCTCCTGCTTTGTATCTCACCTGCTTCTCCCCGTACCCCTGCCTTAGGAGGCCTGAGGTGAAGACTGGCTGGTCCTCAGAGGCCCTCCCCCAAACAAAAACAACAGCTGTACCTCACTCACTCCCCGATTTAGCCCTTCAAGACTACCGTGCTCAGCTGGGTAAGCCACTGTGAACCTCGGTTTCCTCAGCCAGCACTGTAGGAGAGCTAGCACCAACTTCCTCACTGCTAATACAGGAATTAATGGCAGAGCACAGGAGGTGCCTCGGGCACAGGGCATGGTGGGAGGCTTGTCATCAATAGCCAGTCCCCCAGTGGGGTCATTTTCTCAGTCTTAGGGGTGCAGGGAATGGCTTGGGCCAGCAGCCAGTGGTAGTAACAAGTGGGAGGGGACACAGCTAGCCTCTGTTCACCACACGGGTCTCTCTTAGGCATAAGAACACACCCTGCCCTAGAAGCCCCTGGAGAACAGGAAATGAGCCCCTCTCCTGTGATTTATAAGGTAAATCACCAAAACACTGGAACTTAAGGCCGGAGCAACTTCAGTTAAGACCTCAGAGGAGAAGGCCAGGGTGCTAAGGGAATGTGCAGGGCTTTCTGGAATACTAAATTAAAAAAAAATTATAAAATGGGTGGCAGGAAGTGTGGGAGTGGGCCAGCCCCACTGTGCCCCTGACCCAGCGGCTGTGGCAATGGCCCATCAAGCCGAGACACCATTCAAGTAGCTTTTCAGGCAACAGCCCACCTAGCCTTGATGTTGGTAATTTGGGTCCAAGCCGGGTTTAAGACTGTGTAGCACTTTTCCATTAAAATAAAAGGTCAGGAAGGACTGGCTTCAGGTGGCTGGCTCTAGATGTGACCCCAAGACAGAGGAGTGCTCACAAGACAAGGGTCACTCTGGAAACCAGGTTCAAGGTCCTGTGTTGACACTGGCCAGTCCTGTGAGGCTCTAGGCAAATTATAAGCCCTTCCTTGGGCCTTGGTATCCTTGTGCGTCAAGTGACCCTGAGGTCCCCCAGAACTCTCCTCTATGAAGCCTGTGTCAAAGGTGTCTCTGCAGGCTAAGAAGGATTGGCAGAGGCCAGGGAGTGGTCTGTGCAGAGGCACTATTAGTTAGAGAGGGCAACAGGTCTATCTAGCAAGGTGTCAGAGCATCCCAAAGCATTGCCGTTGTCCGGGACAGCACCTCTGGCCCCGCGGTACCCAGCTTTTCCTTCCCTTCTTAGTACCCCTTGACTCCCTGCTCAGAGAACAGACCTGCCAGACTCCCTTTCTCCTTAAGGGACAAAATCTAGATGGCAGTCTTGTCTGGAAAGGGGGTTCCAAGTCAAGCAGAGCCCCAGGAGGCCAAGAACGGGTTGAAGCCAGAAGCAGCGGGCAGGCGGCACAGCACAAAGGACTCCCTCGGGACACAGCAAGAGGAGGTTGGGCTGTTGACCCAGGGCCCTACCTCAGCCAGGGAGCTCCTCCGTCCAGCGGCTGGTACAGTCCAGGGCTCCAGGCCACCCTGGGGGCAATGGGGTTGTAGCCAAGTCCTCAAAGGACCATGCCAGCATGGCTCCAATGCTGGACAATGCAAGCTCCTGGGTATTGTGTGGGGCAGGGAGGGGGGAAGCGAGGGTGAGGGAGCCTCGCAGAGGCAGGCGGCTGTCTCGACGTGCCTGCTCCCCGCCCCCCTTCCCCAGAACCGGTTTGGCCAGTCGGGTACAAGAGGGGGCTGGAACAATGGGAGTCCTATGCCTCCCAGAGGCTCTGAGGGACCCCAGACAGCTGCCTAAAGATGGGGTTAGCAGGGTTCTGCTCCTAAGAGGTAAGACACCCCTCTTTGGAGCTTTCCAAGTACTGGGGAGAGGCGGGGATTTTGTAGGAGTGAAGGACATCCTGGAGGGGTTGCAAAGGAACCTCCAAACCTGGACTCCCCCTCAGGGATTCTGAGACCTCCTCTGCCCCTCTCTGAACCTGTCCCACCTCTGAAAATTGGGGACACATGACTGTCTCCCATGCCTGGGAGACAGAAGTCAATCTTGGAAGCTAGTTATCCTTTCTGGATGGCCCCTCCAGCATGGCCACTCCTCACCACTGACCCCTGTCTGCTGGAATGACCAGCCTCTGGGTCTCTAGCAGCCGCCTCCCCAGTGGAATCTTCCCAGAGTCCAGACGCCTACCCGGAGAGAGTTCTCAGTAAGGCCAAGGAAACAGCCGAAGCCAAGGCAGCCTCCATAAGAGGTTGGAGGGGTGGGGGTGGAGGGGGGGGATCCATGCTCCGTGCCAGGCACGCAACTTTGCCAAGTCTGTGGAAAACGTAGAGCTGCTTCCTATCTCCCAGTGTACCGACCATTTGTGTGAGCACCTTGAAATTGCCAATTGGGCGCTATTCAGAGGTGTATGTAGGGTGGGTATGAAGATGATGCCCATGGGGTTAATAACCGGTACGCTTCCTGCTCACGTGCGTGGCTTCACTTACCGTCTGTCAGGACCCTGTGAAGCCCCTACCATGGCTGCTACACAAGGCTTGTGCCCCTACACATGAGCACTGTCCCATCTGTGCGGTTTCCCCTCCACACGCACCCTTTAGGTGACACTGAGGTTCTAGGGACTTCATTAACAAGAACAGCCAGGGGCTGGAGAGATGGCTCAGTGGTTAAGAGTCTTTGTTGCTCTTGCAGAGGAGCTAGACTCGGTCCCTAGCGTTCACAGGGTGGCTCACACCGTGTGTCACTCCAGTTTCAGATTTCATGGGCGCTAGGCGTGTACAGGGTGCACACAGTTACATACACGCAGGCGAAGCACTCATACACATAAAAAGTAAAAATGAATAAATCTTAAAAAAAAGAAAGAGGGCTGGAGAGATGGCTCAGTGGTTAAGCGCACTGCCTACTTGTCTAACGGTCCTGAATTCAATTCTCAGCAACCAGATAGTGGCTTACAACCATCTGTAATGAGATCTGGTGCCCTCTTCTGGCCTGCGGGCATGCATGTGGGCAGACTATAGTGTACACAATAAATTAAAAAAGAAAAGAATAGCCAGTATTGAGACCCAGGTCTGTCTGACCCCGCCCCGAGCCTACATCCTTACCCACTGTGTATTGGGAGATGCCTAGCTGATCGCTGACTTCTTTTTTTTCAAACTTGGTATGTAGAGGAGGAGGATCTTAGCGTGTTGAGCTTCCCGCCTCTACCATTTTGAGTGCTGGGATTACACAGAACACCACCACACACAATGCTGGGGGTTGAACTCAGACCCTCTTGCATGCCAAACCTGCATGCCCAGATCCCAGGGAACTCTTCTTGGGAGTGGGTTCTTTAGCCTCTTATTGATGACTTTAAGTTCATAGTGGAGTCCTCTACTCCTCCTCTCTACCTTGCCCTCCCTGAGCACCGTTACACTCCAAGAAGACGCTGACCAAAGTAGGTGAGGGGAGATAGGGTTAAGTCAACATCCCATGGAGAGCAAGAAAAAGGTGGAGAAAAATCTCCAACCTCATCCGCCCAAGTGAAATGACCCTGTACTCCTCGCTGGAAACCAGAGGGCTCCGACCTTGTAGTGGGTAGGGCAGGAGCTCTAGATAACTTTAGGGGGCTGTGCCTCCGCCTCCGCTGCACTGGGTCGCGTGAAGCAGGTGAAACTAGCTCTCCAGAGCAGAGACCCTTCCCCCGCCCTCTGAGAAGTCAAGGTAAAAGGGGTGTGTTGTGGTCAGGGTTTGGTAAAGGACAAGACCAAGTAGAAAGCATCCATCCTCAGTTAGGGTTTTTTTTTTTTTTTTTTTTTTTTTT